TATTTTAATCGTATAAAATGTTGTATTAGGCCTGTTGTTTTGTTCATTTCCGCACTGACAGCTCGAAAGAAAGATTTACATTGATCTGATGCAGTATCGGTTCATCTGCTATGTCTCTCTATAATTTAAGCCTAAAATACAGAATTATAGTCAACGTTTCTTTAATAGATTGATTAATTCAATTGATCGATTTCTACAAAACCTGACAATTGAAATGAGGCTCTGTATATATGAGAAAGTCTGACCTCGATTTGTATTCGGTGACGATGTCTGTGGGTTGTTAAATTAAAGTGCACATTTTCACTTATAAAATATTCTATACACAATACACAAAAGTTTGGGGTCAGTGTGATTAAATATGTTAAAATAAGCTTCTTCTGCTCACCAAGGCTGCAATTATTTCATCATAAATACAAATTGTGAAATGTTGCACTTTAAAATAACTGTTCAAAAGTAGTTTATCATTTAATTTATTCATTTATTCCAGTGATTTTAAAGATGAGATTTCAGCTTCAGTACTCCAGTCACATGATCCTTCAGAAATCACTAATATTAATTATTATTATATTTATTAATGGTAAAAGTTATAAAATCAATAATGTCTGGAGTAACTATTTTATTTGAAACTAAATACAATAACAAAGCAGTTATTTAAAATTTTAATAAATATTTAACAATTACACCTTTTTTACATTTATAAATATAGCCTTGATGAACTGAATAGTTTTCCTTAAACATTTTAAAAATTACCCTAAATATATATACAGATTTATTAGCCCCCTTTTGTTTTTTGTTTTTTCTTTTTAAAATATTTCCTAAATGATGTTTAACAAAGCAAAGAAATGTTGATATTTTGTCTGATAATATTTTTTCCTCTGAACAAAATCTTATTTGTTTTATTTTGGCTAGAATAAAAACATTTTTTAAACCATTTTAAGGTAAAATTTATTAGCCTCTTAAGCTAATTGTTTTTCAGACTGTCTACAGAACAAACCATCATTATACAATAACTAGCCTAATTACCCTAACCTGCCTAGTTAACCTAATTACCCTAGTTAAGCCTTTAAATGTCACTTTAAGCTGTATAGAAGTGTCTTGAAGAATATCTAGTAAAATATTATTTACAGTCATCATGACAAAGATAAAATAAATCAGTTATTAGAGATGAGGTATTAAAACTATTATGTTTAGAAATGTGCTGAAAAAATCTGTTCTCTGTTAAATAGAAATTGGGGAAAAAAATAAACAGGGGTGCTAATAATTTAGGGGAACTAATAATTCTGAAATCAACTGTGTGTGTGTGTGTGTGTGTATACACACACACACACACGCACATTCAAATAGCGATTAACTTCTTTTTTTTTTTTTTTGGTGGGGCCAGTGAAAATTTGGGCAGGGCAAGTAAAAATCAGAACCACTGGCCCGATCGGGCCAGTAGAAAAAATCCTTAGCGTTGAACCCTGTGAGCACTGCTTAGTTTAAACCCTCGCTATTGTAATGCATATAAATACATACACTAATATTTGCTGGTAGGAAAAATCTATTTGTTCACTTCTTTTCTTCCACTTAACTGCAAATTTGAATAAAAACTGGATAAAGAGCACACAAACATGCTGACAGTAATAGGTACTGTACACTGTTATGGGTCAATGATGCTAATATTCGGCACAAATCCATCAGTTTCTTAGGTTATTAGATTATTTTATACTTTCACCTCTCCTGCTGTGCATGAACTATGCTGTTGAATGTTCAGCGTATGAGGTGGCTAGGCTAACCTTGCTTCAATTTTGATAAAATTATTCTCTAATCAGTTGCTATTATGTTGTGAATATACCCCTGTAATGTATACTGCAGTCCTCTTTTGTCTGGCTTTCTCAGATATCTCACCTGTTTGCCAAAAATGACTAATTAAATCCTTGGGAATGTCTGACACCAGCGCATACACACTGTAATAGATGTGCCAGGCATGAAAGCTTGACAGGTGTAGTAGCAACAGTAACTAAGGAGGGCGAGGCTTAGCGAAGGGTTATTCCAAGAATGTTGATATGGTTTCTTTCTTGCTTTACTATTTATTAACAATACACAAAAAACTAAAAGGTTAAGGTAAATTCTTTAATAAATTCTAGTGTTTTTGAGTATTATACTTGTTGTATACTTGTATTATAATTATGTTTTAGGCTAGTATTATTTACGACTTGTTAATTAATGCTTCATAATACAGTAGTATTACCAATAGTGAACAGATAAAATAATACAAAGTGTAGTTTTACTACAGTAAAGTGTAGGGATTTGTAGTATAAAATACCCTATATTGTAAAATAATACAGCACTGGGTAATTTGTTTATATTACACTTGTGTTACCATAGCAACTATAGTATTTCCACAACTGATCAATTGAAGTTCTTTACTGTAGTAGGCTACTGTTCAAAACACAGTACATGCCAATATGCGTGTTCAGGGGCCCTGTGGAACAGCTTTCCTCAAAATGAAGAGGATGACATGGAAAATGTCCTCCACAATCTCATCAGCAAAGTGGAAGCCAGCAGACATTAGTTTACTTTATTTTAGCTGCCATGATAAAATGAGATTGATAGTGAGATTACAGTAGACTATAATACCTTTTCAAGTGTTTCCTTATTTTTATCACAGTTACATTTCTGCTTGCATTAGTTTTTGTTTAAATGCTTTTAAAATAAAATGTATTCTTTACATCCAACATCTATTCCAGGGGTGCCTTATAGTGGTGTAAACCCCTTTACAAGGGGTGTTACCCCTGTGTAAACTCTAGCCACCCCTGTGGCCAACCCGATATGATTTTGCTGTTGACATTATTTATTTAAATTTACTTACATAAATGCAATACAATGCAATATTTCAATAAATAAATAGCCACTAAAAAATTATTGTGGATTGATTGGTGCCACTGACGTAGCTGGCCTCTTCTGGCCCCCCTTAAGCAAATTTTCAGGGGGGCACCACTGGTCTATTCTCTGTCTTTAAGTGTTTGAAACTGAAAATATCTCATCATATAAAACAACCAAAAATGTTATGGTTTATTAGATTAAACATTTAATATGTAAGTCTATTTTAGTATTTTGGTTATTGTTATTAAACAGTGCAGCAATATGAATCATATCAAAAAGCATGAAAGGAAGAGGGAACACGACACAAATTGTGAGTTTGCATATAATCTCTGAGAGCGCTCAAGAAAATTTGTGTGTGAGCAGTGCATATTTGAGAGCGAGAGAAAATTTGAGAACTCGCAATCAGTTTTGTCCACAAACAGAGGAAATCCGTGCACGAGCATCACACAAGGTAGAGAGCAAAGCTCTTCAACGCTATGTGAAGAAAACAACTTTATTGTTTGTATGAAGTAGCCTACTTCATTAACAATATGTGCTACCATTTTACATTGCTGCAAGACAGATTTGCAGCAATATCTTTTTAGCACACACGAGATTCAATTGACAAAATTCCAATTTCACTCAATTTAACTTTGCAGCATATACAGGAGTTGGTCTACTGCTACCACACTGAGGTTATGTAATTTTGGTTAATCACAAGTTGATCACCGAAGACATAACATAGCACAACTAAACTTAATGAATTAGACAGCAGGAGACCTGCAATTTCTGTGTGATGAGGCAAAATGGAGTCTTTTTTTGGTGGAACTCGTTCTTGTGCATTATGCTGTGGAGACGAGACGCAGCACTGTTCAGTACTTTTTCAGAAAATTGCATTTGTATTTTTATATATCTGAGCAATGTTCTTTAATAAAAAAAGGTTTGTTTAATTAATACAGATCTTACAACCATACCTAATCTGTATATATTTTATTTTTCTGTTAAAAAGACTCGAAAAGACTCGAAAATCAAACTGCAGGACTTTGGACTTGACTTGAGACTTGTTGCCTTTGACTCGGGACTTGACTCGGGACTTGCCTGTCTTGACTCGGGACTTGACTCGGGACTTGAGGGCAATGAATTGAGACTTACTTGTGACTTGCCAAACAATGACTTGGTCCCACCTCTGATATATATATATACACACACATATATACACACATATATACACACATATATATATATATAACATAATAATAATAATTATTATTATTAATGTATTTGCAAAATAAATAAACATAGTAATAAATTATAATTTTATGTATTTATCTAACATTGCATTATATTATTTATAGTTAGAGTTATATTATATTATTTATAGTTATAATGACATATAAATAATAATAATAATAGCAATAATAATAATAATAATAGTTAATGTATTTACAAAATAAATATAAATAATAATAAATAAAACTATAATTAAATGTATTTATATTATATTATATTATATTATATTATATTATATTATATTATATTATATTATATAAAGTTATATATATATAATGGGCGACGCAGTGGTGCAGTAGGTAGTGCCGTCACCTCACAGCAAGAAGGTCGCTGGTTTAAGCCTCGGCTGGGTCATTTGGCTTTTCTGTGTGGAGTTTGCATGTTCTCCCTGCATTCGTGTGGGTTTCCTCCGGGTGCTCTGATTTACCCCACAGTCCAAAGCCATGCGGTACAAGTGAATTGGGTAAGGTAAATCTTCAGTAGTGTATGAGTGTGTGTGTGTGTGTGTGTGTGTGTGAATGTTTCCCAGAGATGGGTTGCGCCTGGAAGGGCATCCGCATTGTGTAAAAACGTGCTGGTTTTTACCTGATTATTAAAGGGACAAAATAAAAAACATTCAAATAAATTAATAATAAAAAATTATACAACTATTTATATAATACTATGTTTATATATAAATATTCGAATTATTTCTATAGTTTGATGTATTTTTTACTTGATGCTTAAGTGAAATAGAAGGCTATTTCATTGTGTCATTCATCCACACAGCGACTGAAACTGTTCAGCATGCAGGCACTGGACTGGTCTTGATACACAGGAAGATGGTGATGGTGACAATATAAGCTGACAAGAAAATTGCAGCTCACCTGCAGAGGAAGCGGCTCATCATCGTGACTGAATGGATGTTCAAACACAATGGCTGCCAAAATCTTGCCTGACTCTGGATCAGTTTTCACGAACTCCTCAAACTGCTCCTCCGTTTCAAAGCCACGAACTGTATAAAAAAACAAGATGAAGACACAGTATTAGAGACACATAGTTTACAACAACAACACACACAAACTGATGTTAATGATATAGTAAATCATGTTCATGAGACCACGATGCATTTTTAGTGTGAACTGTGCATCACGACAAACATGTTTTTCAGACAAATGTAAATTGTTCCTATAGGCAATCAATTCAATGCGCAGAAAGTTTGAGGGTTACTCATAAAAATAGATGAATCAATGGGAAATGTGATCATGTGACCTGCGTGGACACTGGCTCACCGTTTGACCTTTAAAGTAATTGATTTTAAGATTCGTCAGCCTACTGTAAGCATATGTTAATGACATCACCATCGGGAAAATAATGTTAAAAGCCAGATCTAATGAGACTCCAAGGCAAAGCTGGGGATTCAGCCAAAACAGGACTAGGATTCGCCAACTAAATTAAATTAAACACACACAGGCTTGCGGGTTCATTTCATTCTATGCCATTATTTTATTATTTAAAACATTTAAAATCATTTGAGTCAACTTGTCACTTTAAGGCAATGGTTTTCATTACTAACCAATATCATCAGCATAGCAGTAAAAGCTCCATGTTTTTAAATAACATTAACAAGCAGCATCATATATGTTGAAAACAGAAGCGGGCCTGAGACAGAGCCTTGTGGCACGCCGTACTATTCTGCTGTTAATCTAGGTGACTCTCTGTTTTTAAATAAATAAATAAATAACAGTACTGTTCAGACAGGTAGGGTTTAAAACTTAACCTTATGTTAACGCTTGACCCTGAACCCCAGAATAATTCTGTAGCCAATCTACGAACATGTCAAATATTGTGTCAAATGCGACACTAAGATCAGCTAAATCCAACTAAACAGTATACAGTAGTTACAGTATATGCCAATGGATTATTTTTGAACAAAAGAATTACAATAAAAATTTATTTAAATGAAAGAGTGTACAGTTGAAGTCAGAATTATGAGCCTCTCCTCCCCCTCCCCCCTTTATTTGTTTACCCAATTTCTGTTTAACGGAGAGCAGATTTTTTTCAACACATTTCTAAACATAATAGTTTTAATAACTCATTTCTAATAACTGATTTATTTTATATTTGCCATGATAACAGTAAATAATAGTTGATTAGACATTTTAAGTGACATTTAAAGGCTTAACTAGGCAGGTTAGGGTAATTAGGCTATTATATAACGATGGTTTGTTAAGTAGAATATCAAAAATATGTAGCTTAAAGGGGCTAATAATTTTGACCTTAAAATTGTGTTTAAAAATTTTTAAACTGCTTTTATTCATGCTGAAATAAAACAAATAAGACTTTCTCCAGAAGAAAAAAATATTATCAGACATACTGTGTAAATGTCCTGCTCTGTTAAACATCATTTGGGAAATATAAAAAAAATAATAATAATCAAAAAGGGGGCAAATAATTCTGACTTTAACTGTATATTTAGTGTAATCTTTAAAAAAAAACATATTTTGTGTGTGTATTTAGGGACATTTTGTTTTAAAATATAAACTCAAAAGACTACCACTACACCTATTTTTGACTGAATCACATATTGTACATTTGTATTGTATAGTACAAATGAAAGAGCAAAATAAGAATTTGAAAATTAAACTGCTTTGAATAGCGTGAGGGTGAATGACCTGACCGTTTTCATTTCTGGGTCAAATGTTCGTCTAGCATGTAACTGAATAACCTCAGGTAATTGTGCTGCATTTGTCTCCATAAAACAGGAGTTGTTGGTCGAGCCGGTGAAACGGGTTCAGAGAGGATAGCAAGTGTCTGTCCTGGTCTGATCTCCTGCATATGGAGAATCAGCAAAAAAAAAAAACACACACACTCAACCAGGAAGTATCTGAGCCAATGTAAACACAGCAGAGAGCAAAATTGATACTTGGTTCACTCCTGAAATGCATTTTCGTCAATCTGATCACAAGTGGATGATGCTAAAAACAGATGTAAATGGAATTTAAAACATTTGAACATCTCCGTATTCAACCTCTTCCAGCGGTTAAAAATGTTAAGAACTCATTAGATCAGATTGCTTTCAAAAAGTAAATGCTCATTAGGTCAAATGTGTTCAAACTGTATTGGGTGGCAATGCAAAATTTTAAATAAAAACTCCTTAATTTTCAAAAACGTTTTAATGTTCACTTGAGGTGGTTTTAGACCTGTGCAAAAAAGGGTACATGCGAATATTAGGAGATTGAAATACATTTTTGTTAGTATATTCGTCAACTATTTTCGTGAATGGATATAAAATTACAATCAACTTCAGAAATCCCTTAATTTGCAAAAACATTTTTGAGTTCGCTCGAGGTGGTTTTAGACTAGTGCGAAAAAAAAGTTTATACAAATATTGGGAGATGGAGACATATTTTCTTATTTGTCAAGCATTTTTGTGGATGGATATAACGTCAAAATTACAATCAATTTTAGAAATCCCTTAAATTGCAAAAACATTTTTACGTTCACTAAAGGGGGTTTTAGACTTGCGCAAAAAAGGGTTATGCAAATATTGGAAGATGGAAAGACATTTTCGTTAGTAGATATTTGTGATCATCATCATCATAGTAGATCATTTTTGTGAATGAATATAACGTGAAAATTACAATAAACTTTAGAAATGCCTTACTTTACAAACACATTTTATGCTTGTTTGAGGTGGTTTTAGACTTTTGCGAAAAAGATTTATGTTTTTTATTAGTATATTCATCAACTATTTTTTGTGAATTGATATAATATCAAAATGACAATTTTGTTTTACATTTGATCCCAAATATCAAAAAAAAAAAAAATCAGAAATGCTTTAATTTTAGTTTAAAAGCACAGTATTTAATTTCTGCCACTAGAGGGTGCGCATTCACAACAAACAAAGATGTATTTTGATGAAGGAGTGGCCAAGTTTGGAATCATACTGTAGGAGTTGTAGTCTTTATTAAATCCTATGGCACAACTGCAGAAATCATGTTGATGGATGAAAGTATTCAACCCTTATTATCATGATAATATGAAGCAAAGCAGGGCTGAACGCTTTTGAAGAGAATTGAGAATGTTAAAACAATTGCTAACGAGAGACAAGTGTGACAGCACAAAAACAGCAGAGCTTTTATTATGCCGCAAACCACCATTTCCATTCCTTCGGGTCTTTCTGCAGTCTAATAAGACAGACAACATATTGCAGCATCTTCAATTTTTTTCTGTTTTCTTTAAAGCCAAATCGGAAATCGAGGGTGCATGACATCATTAGCATGGAATTTGAACATTCTTCGATAATGCAAGTTAATAAGTCAACAAAATATATAGCACTGATTGTTCAAGTGATTTTTGGATATTTAAATTTTTTAAAAAGTACATATTGTGTATGAATTATTCTATGGTGTTACCTTGAAATGTTGCATATAATAACATACATAGTGCGACTCACTAAAATGAATGTGAATAACCTCTGACTCGCTTAATTATGCTCAAGGCATCACTTTTAAAACATCCATCTATACACGAGCCACTACTTAAAGCTCTATAACATCAGGCCCAATGCATCTATGCCTGAAACATTGTCTTTTCAGCTTTCACACCTTGTCCAAATCACAGACTTCCATGACATTAGCGCAGCTGATACTCATACTCTCTTAATTCGGTAGGGTTGGCTCTGTGAGTCAGATGTGAACATTACACAGCACTTTAACCCCATCAACGCTTCTCATTTCACAGTCAAAGTGGAGGAATAAGACTCTGGATCGCTTCTCGCCAAAGGAGTGTTCATTATGTGACTCACCATCTGTAATTTACTTGCCCCTGCAGTCCTTTAAGGCGCTCTTAAACACAAGCGCCACGATATGTCAAGAGCGGGACAGAAGGTAAAATCAGGTTTCTGGTGGGGTCAAACTTATGTATTTGTGCACAAATCTCAAGATTTATTCATTTTATTTGATCTTTGTGCTGCATTTGACACTCTAGATCACAATATATTTATGGATGGACTTGATCTTAATGTTGTTTTTGACTTAATATATAACAACATATTCACAGATCGGTTACATAATAATGCTGGGATTCAGGGTCAGCATTAAGATAAGGTTTAAATTCTACCTGTCTGAACAATGCAATTATTTATCAATTTAAAGGTGCCATGCACTGCAATAGTTTAATAAGGTAAATTGTTTTCTAATATCTACATAGTAGGTTTATGGCTTCGGTAGGTTAAAAAAAAATCTCCAGAAACGGTTTTATAAGCTTATTTATTACTCCATATAATATCCCTAGAATCAAAAGGTCTATAATTGACCTAGGTTTGGGACCATAACCCCGAGAGGGGGGTAGAAATCAGGGGCTGTGCGATTTACTTCCTGAAGGAAGTTAAAAATTGGGGGGGGAGTGGGGGGTAATTAGAGCTGTAAAGCTTAACTTTTCGATTTTAGGTGAAAAATCGATTCTGTTGGAGACATCTAATAGATTAACAGGTACTGAAAAAGTCCACAGAGGGGGGTGATCACCAGAATGGGGAAGTCCCAGAGTAAAATGAGAAAATATGATACACCTGTGTTTTTGGAATATGTAAAAACTGTCTTTACGCTGTTTTCATCTGTTTTTCTATTATTTGTTTCTATTTTATCTATACTTGTCTCTTCTATTCCTGTTTATGTCAAACACTTTGAACTACCACTGTGTATTAAATGTGCTATATAAATAAACCTGCCTTGCCTTTTTAAGAATTACCGCAGTTTGGAAAAGTCAAGGTTTTAAAACCGCCAACATTTGCTGTTATATTGTTCCTACGGTATATAAAAGTTTGTTTTTGGGGGGAGGAGGGGGGGGGGGGGTTAACGACAATTTTATAAAGCTTATAGGGCAACAATATCACCAGCAGAAAAAGACCCTCCACATCAAAAGCTAATGTTACAAAATATTTTAAATGTTTTTATAATAAAATATATTATAATGCTTGATGGGGGGAAAAAAAATAGTTTTCTTTACCCAGACATTTAAAACGAACATATATTACAGAAGTAATTACAATACTGTGATACCGTTATCCATGGTTATAATACGGTCACAGTCTTATACCGACCCATGCCTAAATTGACCATATATGGATTATGTCATGATTATTAATATATATACGTGTACAGCATTTGTTTGTTTGTTTGTTTGTTTAGTTGTTTATTTTTAAGGAGTTTTCACATTTATTGATAGGACAGTAATATGTACATACAGTAAAGTGTGGGGAGCAGATAGGGGATAGATCAGCAAAGGACCTCGAGCCAGAAGTCAAACATGGGTCGCAGTGAGCACCTTGGTGCTATGTGTCGACGCACTAACCACTAGGCCGACATTGCCTATTTTTAAGCTGTAATGGCAAAGAAAACTTGTCTTGTGCAGTCGTGGCCCAGTAACACATCTGTGGTTGTGTTTTCAAAATAAAATTCCCATATACTTAGTAAGTTAAAAATAAGCCAATGGAGATAAACTATCATTATTTTTTTTTTCCTAGAAAACATTATTGCTTACAAAACACAGCCTGAGGCGCGCATATTAATGATCTCAGAAATACACAAGTCTGGGTTCTCTTGATGACGTCAGGTCTGGATGAACGACCTAAAGTAGTCATACATGCAAATGGGAGCATGGAACGTCAGTCTTTTCACAGTTTGTTTTGTCTTCTGATGGGCTCGTTGTCCACCAGGGTTTTACACTCATGGAATTTATATAATAACGAGTAAACAATGATCCATGGAATGTCCATTTCCATATACTGATCTCTTATTATTCTACTATACCTTGTTACACCTGTAAGCCAGGTGTTAAGTCAAAATAACCTAAGGTAAGTGTGTTATCAATAAAAGAGAGAGGAGCGTATGACTAGACCTGTCACAATAATCAATATATAGACTTAATCGCACAATACATGGCCATGACCTCAATCATTTTTGGTGATGTAATATACTATATCGGCCATACATAAAAACCAATTGTAGCAATATTTTAGTTTATTGCACAACATCTCTATCTCTATTGGAGGTGTCAATTTCAGTATGGTTGAAAAACAATATAGTATTCACTATAAATTACTATAGTATATTTTCATGTGGTTGTCTGACAACTGAAAATAGATATAGCAGATATTACAGTCTCTGTACATTTTTTACCTTGCACTTTTGTGTTTACATTTGTTATTATTTATTTAGCATAGGCGTTTTCACATTGTGATTCCAGTGCCTCTTTATTAAACTATTAAAATGACTATAATTATATTAAATATTCTGATGAATAATAAAAAAAAATGTGTTCTTTGGATGAGTACTAGTATTGCGATGCTGTTGTAATGTCATTCTGGCATTATATAATGATGAGTGGCATAAAATAGTCTTCAAATGACAGTAATTTTGTTTATCGCAATATATTTTGGTGCAATAAATCGTGCAACAAAAAATAGATATCATGACAGACCAATGTATGACCAGTACTTCTCTCCTTTTTTTATTTACACGGGACAGAGATATTACTCACTGAATAAAACTAAACTGTATATTGAAGCTTGTGGAAAATAATTAATATGTAGGCGAATATATTGTTGCTTCATCCATAATAGCCAAAGACCTGGATGATTTATTAGACAGCGACTTCATATTCATATTTCATATGCTACAAAAACAGCCTTCTTCCACATTAAAAACACTGCCAAGTAACTGAATATCTGAAAAGCTAGTTCATGTGTTTATGACCCCCAGACTGCACTGCTTTAATGCTCTAACAGCTGGTTGTCTGTTATCTTCAATAAACAAGCTGCAGTTGTTTACAGAATGCAGCTGCTGGAGTTATCATTGGGTCAAGAAAATATCAATCACCACAATTTTGCTTCTTTTCTCTGGCTCCCTATTAAGCTCCGTATTTATTATAAAATACTGCTATAACCACAAAACTCTAACATGTGTAGCTCCTGTGTACGTAACCAGGCTTTAATCACACTATATTCCTTTACAGTCTTTAATGTCGCAAAAAAAGTCCCTACAAGGAGAAAGAGTGTTTTTACATTTGGCTATAAAGTGCTGAAACTGCCTTCCTGAAAATGTTAAGCGTTCAGATACACGTCCAGACAAAAATCTAGATCAGAAAACAATCTTCTTAGCTTTCACTTAATGCGTCTCATGATTTTGTAAATATGTATTTTTGTTTGAAATGGTATAAATAGCAGCGACGCTCAGTTTTCTACATTTGCTTTTGGTTTCGACCTCAGGAAAGCCATCCTCAATAGATGTGCTATAGCAATAAAAATATGTGACAGATATTGCACTCATGAGACACAATTTCAATGTAATAAAATACTGTTGGAATTTCCCTTATTCCTTCAACTTATTGCTACTGATTTAACATTTGAAGTTTCTGTGTTTTTACGGAGTTGGGTTGCAGCTGGAAGGGCATCCACTGTGTAAAACATATGCTGGATAAGTTGGGGTTTCATTCCGCTGTGGTGACCCCTGGTTAATAAAGGGACTAAGCCAAAAAGAAAATGAATGAATGAGGCTGGGAAAAACCCAAATTTAAAACGTCATGCTATTTACAGATTTTCTATGACTGTGGAAATTGGAGGAGGTAATTTAGTATGCTTTTATATATTTTTTATTGTGCACTGAAGCAGAAAATAAGCAAAACAAACCACAAAACAAAATACACAAAACATAAACAAGAAAAATTAAACAAAACACAAAAAACTAAACAAAACTAAAAACACAAATAAAATAAAAATCTAAAACAAAAAACACAAAGAACACAAAACATAAACAACAAACAGAAACAACTTAACGGCTAAACAAAACAACAAAACAAAACGAAAACCACAAAACAAAAGTAACAACAAAACAAATCACTCATCAAAACAAAACACAAGAACCACAAAACAAAAAAAGTAACTAAACAAAAAACACAAATCGAATCTGAACGAAATCCAAAACAAAACTCAACACAAAAACAAAAACACAAATCAAAACAAAACACATAACATAAACAACAAAACAGAAAAAAATAAACAAAACAGAACACAAAAACACTAAAAAAAACAAAACCCAAAATACTAAACAAAACAGATAACAAAACACAATCAGCACAAAATTCAAAACAAAACAAAAAACCCAAAACAAAACAACACAAAAACAAGAATCAAAACAACACACAAAACATAAACAAAAAAATACAAAAAAAATAACAAAACAACACATAAACACGAATCAAAACAAAACCCAAAAGACGAAACGAAACAAATAACAAAACACAATCAGCACAAAATTCAAAACAAAACAAAAAACCCAAAACAAAACAACACGAACAACACACAAAACATAAAAAAAAAAAAATACAAAAAAATAACAAAACAACATATAAACACTAATCAAAAACAAAACAAACACTAATCAAAATTAAAACAAAAAAAAAAAACACAAAAAACTAAACTAAAAAAAAAAAAAAAAAAACTAACCAAAGACAAACAACAACACAAAAACTCTAATCAAAAACAAAACAAAACAAAAAACTAAACTAAACAAAAAACATTCATTCATTCATTTTCTTTTTGGCTTAGTCCCTTTATTAATCAGGGGTCGCCACAGCGGTATGAACCGCCAAGCATATTATCCACCATATGTTCTATGCAGTTTATTCAGTTCACCTATAGTGCATGTCTTTATAGAGTGGGGGAAACCAGAGCACCCAGAAGAAACCCACGCCAACACAAACACCCGCCATTAATGCCAACTGGCCCAGACTCGAACCCGTGACCTTCTTGCTGTGAGGAAACAGCGCTAAACACTGAGCCACCGTGCCATCCATACATGTTAGAAACTATTTCTATATTTTATATTTCCTTCATAAATACAGATGTGAGCATGTGATTACAGAACAACACAAACCAAACCGGTGTCTGAGCATCAGCCCTAACACACTTACTACATTTTTACAAACATGCTTCTTACCGTTTTTGATGCATGATTGCAGGTTCTGCTGGACGTCCTGTGCGATCTGCTGCACCACGCTGGCATTTGCGGGCACGTATGCCAGCTGCAGCTGCTGGTAGCACAGCAGTGGCGGCAGGCCGTTCAGAGGGAAGCTCTGGTAGTGTGTGGCATTCGGGTAGTTGGTGAAAGACACTTTCTGCCGCAGGACGATCAGGATGGCGGAGAAGAGCAGCGGCAGAGCGATTTCCACCAGTGTGACCAGGATCTGACGCTTCTGAAGACCACATGGAAAAACACAAGCTCAGTGAGGGAACACGGAGGGGTACATATGCATGTTTGAAGACCAGGACATGGGGCAATGATTTTTAGATATGTGAAGACGGATGGGTAACTGCATTGTGCTGTATAAAATGAAGTAAAATTCCATGCTTTTTTAATATGATTTTAAGTGTCTCATGAGTTTATATTTCAAATTTGATTAAGATAGAAGACACTCTGGCCTTTATTATCCATCATCTAGAGTTTATAATGTTCAAAATGAAAAAAAAAGGTTATAGATGCTTAAGTAACGTAAAAAATATTGCACCACACTAAACATTTTATTATTTCCTAAAAAAAAATGTGAAATCAGTCCTGGAGCAACACAGAAAAGTAATAGATCAAAAGCCACACATTTCCTGAATATGTGTTTTGGATTTGATGCCAATATCATGCAAAATGAAATTTCTAGAATTATTTTTCTGAGATAATGACTTGTAATTTTCTCCCTCTCCTTGTTTGTAGAGAACAGTCAGGTGACCACACAAGTGTTTTAGTCTTTTCACATACCACTTATTTTTAATTGTAAAATAATAGACAGAAAGGCATAGTATGAATGATTTATTAGAGCACAAGAAGTACATGGTTTCCATAGCACTTTGCTGTATCTATTGTTTATCGTTATAATTTTATTGCGTATAAAATTAAATTAAAAATGAAAAGAACATAAAATATAATATTTCTAAACATTTTCACTTTGTGGCAAGTTTGCAGTCAAAATATACTAAAAGAAGAAGAAGAAGAAGAAGAAGAAGAAGAAGAAGAAGAAGAACTATTATTATTACAATTATTATAATTACAATTATTATAATACTAAATATTGTTGTTGTTATTATTATTATTACTATTATTATTACTACTACTACTACTACTTATAATAATAATAAGAAGAATAATAAGAATAAGAATAAGAAGAAGAAGAAGAAGAAGAAGAAGAAGAAGAAGAAGAAGAAGAAGAACTATTATTATTACAATTATTATAATTACAATTTTTATAATAATACTAAATATTGTTGTTGTTATTATTATTACTATTATTATTATTACTATTATTATTACTACTACTACTACTTATTATTATTATTTTTATTATTTTTATTATTTTTATTATTTTTATTATTTTTATTATTATTATTATTATAAGAAGAAGAAGAACTATTATTATTACAATTATTATAATTACAATTATTATGATACTAAATATTGTTGTTGTTATTATTATTACTATTAAACAAACACTAGTCAAAAATAAAACAAAAAGAAGAAGAAGAAGAAGAAGAAGAACTATTATTATTACAATTATTATAATAATACTAAATATTGTTGTTATTATTATTACTATTATTATTATTACTATTATTACTACTACTACTACTACTACTACAATTATTATAATAATACTAATAATACAGATTATTATTATTATTTTATTTTTATTATGATTATTATTCCCTGATTTCTTCCTGGTCAATGTTTCTTTTTTTATGGTTTATATCAGTAATTCGCACAGAGGGGTCGCAGGACAATGAGAGAGGGGGGGGGGTTTCGCCTAGTGAACCGGGCTCAGGCCCACCTCTTCCAACCGGGCCAGGGCCGGCCAAGTGAACCGTGCTTGAGCCCGATTCAACGCACTCGCACTTCTCAAACGATCCGGGAAACGGGCCTGGGCACGGTACGGATGGCATAGAATGAGTAGGCCCTAAGAGTACATAGTCTATTTCAGTTCCTCAAAATAGCAACGCGCCAGCAATGCGCCTTAACACTCGTGTTCCAGACCGGAATATCCATGAGTCCACAAAGTGGCGCAATTGCATTTGCTATATAAACAAAGTGGCGGAAAACGGGAAAATTAGTCTCGCGCCTTATTGCGACAGGTATATGATAGGGCCCTGTATCTTCATTGTGTTCATGTTGTAATTCTACTGAAGAATCTATAACATTTCTTTTATCATTGCTCATTCTCCAAGTCTTTTTTGGTCAGAAGTTACCACTTTGATTTATTCATGCTGTAACAAAATTATAGAAATGACAAAAATATTCTTTTTTTGTTTTAGATTTTCATTCTGAAGACTGAATTGTTGAACGTTCTGTACTATTGCTTTGTCTTAGGGTAATCTTCACCTTCGTGAAGCCAGAAGCTATCATTGTAAACCAAATGTCAGTATGTTTTCAAATTGCTCTTTACAACTTAAGAATAGGTCAAAATTTTGCTTTTTTTTTCTAACATTTTGACACACATATATAACACACAAACATCTGTTAATTAACAGGTTCCGTATTTAGTTAAAGTGTTTACTGTTTATTTACAGTTGTGAATTACATTATAGGATGTTGATCTCTGCTCTGTCGACTCTTGATGTTGAAAATTCAACTCTAAAGTATAACAAAGTGACTTTTATTGACATTTCAGTAGTTTAAAAGAATATAATGTATGAGAAATAATATAGAGGGAGAAACAAGTCTGTAAAATAACAGAACATGTACTGGCAGTTTATTACAAGGTTTTTGTGACGTAATACACAACACCAACCTAGACAATATATTGCTTTAAACTTTTAAACTTTTCAAGGTTAAAAATTGTTTGAAGAAAGATCAACATCCCATAACGTGATTCAAAAGCATAAATAAACATTAGGGCTGCACGATACTACGATTTTTTTTCTGCGATATATAAATTAAGATATGAATACAATTTCGACAGATGACTTGAATAGCTCTATCTGGAATGAAATCATTAACTTTGATTGGAATAATCGTGCAGAGGAGTGAATCAATGAAATTGCAAGTGTAAATAAATAATATAGAACAAAGATAAGAGTGAAATAAGTAGTCAGATATTCAGGTACAGTAATATGATACGATATTATCATCAGGGGCGGACTGGCCATCTGGCAATTCTGGCAAATCCCAGAAGGGCCGGACCATTTTTTAAATGTGGACCGGTCAGTTTTTTTTTTTGTTTTTTTTTATATGTATTGTTTTTACATGCAGGCAGCTTTTATCTCTTGCAAGATGTGAATATTATGATGATGATGATGACGATGATGATGATAATGGTAGTAATATTAACAAATGTTAAGCATTGGCCCAATAGGCAACGACCGTATTGTTTTGAGATGGACCATCCCAATCATAGGTAATTCGGACGTAATCAAAATCTGGCAAGAATGTCAAACAAAGCTACAAACAAGCTAGTTGTCAGGGATGGACCATAAAAAAGGAAAGACAGTGCCAAAAAGCTCAGAGAAAGCAAAAAAAAAAAAAAAAAAAACGCTGCGAAATGCATAAAACTAAATGTAGGGGTGTCACGATTTCAATTTCAATTATCGAATCAAAAAATAGAATCTTCGATGCTGCCACGCCCCCATGTCAGCTTGGCTTGCCAAGCGGGAAAAAAAACAGGCTTGAAGTGCTTGTTAAACTGCAGAAGCAGGAGACCCGTCAACAGAACTTAAACCCTCTCCTCTTTCAATGAAGTCGCCGGTGTGGAAGCATTTTGGATTTCCAGTGAGTTATGTTGACAACGTTCGTGTTGTCGACAAAAAAAAACACAGTTTTGCAAGCTCTGCTATGTACGTATTACGTACGGTTCGTCCGATAGACAACACCGGCATCGCGATCCTCCGCCCGCCCCCGTTGCAAATCCGCTCGCGAAAAGTACACACTCAGGCCCTGTTTACACTGTCTTTGTTTTTAAATGGCATTTTAGAACGATAACGATTTGACATCCACAGAGGCGTGTAGCATTTCTGAGCAGCCCTCCTTCCTCACTACCTCTGAAAATACACATCACGTGACCACACAGACACAGACGCGCACACAGCCATGCGCTCGAGACAGCAGGTCCAGGCAGTCAGAGGACTGCTTCAATCTTTCACTCAATTGTACTTAGTCATTTTAGCGAACACCTCAGATACTGTTGGCTGGTTCCTGTTGGTTGTGCGTCTTTTTTACCGACGCCATTATAAAGACACAGATCACTGCCTATTCACGAGTCCCGCAGAAAAAGTGATTGACAGGTGGTAATTATGTGCGTATCTTGCCTTTATTCATTTACTGTATGATTTGTGTATGGGTAAAACAAAGACCATGCAGGTCAGGTAGTTTAAACTGTAGGCTACGAATAATTAATTGGTCATTAATTAATTAATTATTCATAATCGAAAATCAAATCGAGCCTTTAGAATCGAAAATGTAATCGAATCGAGGATTTGGAGGATCGTGACACCCTTAATTAAATGAAATAGTCTCGAAAGGGGGCAGCGCAGTGGTCAGTTGGTGTTTCTGTGTGTAGTTTGCATGTTCGCATAGGTTTCCTCCTGGTTTCCCTCACAAGTCCAAACACACGTGCTTTAGGTGAATTGGGTTGGCTTAATTGTCCGAAGTGCATGTTTGTGAATGTGTGTGCATAGAGGTTTCCAAGTGATGGGTTGCAGCTTGGAGGGCATCCACTGCGCAAAACATGTGCTCGATAAGTTGGTGGTTCATTCCGCTGTAACGACCCCAGATTAACAAAGGGACTAAGCCGAAAAGAAAATGAATGAATGAAATGATTGCATATATAAATTTGTTATAAATGGGATGTTTTGTTCTATTCACAAACTGCGATCATACACTAAAAACAGAGCGGCAGCAATTTCAAACGGCGGCGGTATAAGCCCCGGCGGTAATAGTCACTTTGAACTCTCACCTACTGTACATTAAATGTTTAAATATCTATTACATATGGTACTGCTTATATTATTTCACCATCTGTACACCAATCTAAGTAGTGAATGTGCGCTTCCGTGCATGGGGGTGTGTCGGTGTGGTAATGTGGGCTGGTGTGGCTACAGTGCAAGGGCTGATTTTTAGTCCCAGTCCGCCCCTGACTATCATGATATTTTGCTCCCGATAATGATAGATCACGATATCAGCATTATATCCCAAGAAAACCACCGACAATATATCATGAGATTTGTAAATAAAGGGGAAAAATGCATCAAAAATGTATTTAGCAGCAACCTTGATAAACGTTCGATCCGACACTACAAGAAGCACTACCTGGTGGTAAATGTTAGCAGTCAAGGCTGCTGAATTAGTTCAGATCTATTGTACCTTTAAATAAATATCAATACTTGGATACATCAATAATGTATCGCAGGTGGAATTATCACAATAAACCAGCATTGATATTTTGTCCTGGCACTATTATTGAAAGTAGAATAACATTGTGCTTTCTTCATTGCTGATCAACTATAATGCTCCCAACTCTACATTGTAGCTGCTGCGATGTGACTATTGATGCTGAAATTATGCATTGTAAACCCTTATAAACGGGAAAAAATACAAACATGAACCACAAAATATGGAAAACTGCTAGTTTACTAATATTTTTACAGTGTATAATGATTTCTGATCAATCACAATCTATCTAATCGGTTTAATAAATGTTGAAAACACTGCAAAATCATGAAAATTAATGAATGTTTGTGCGTTAAACCTGTTGAGGTGAATGCAGGATATCTTGTGGTTTTTTTAACACTGCGTGTTCAGTGTGTCTGTTGTACATCTGACCTCTTCTAATGCTCTGTTTACATACTTCGCACTATAAAAATGATTGCAATGCAGTGTGTGCGCATGTCTAGAATCGAGATCAAGTTAAAACAAACCTAGATTTTCCCCCAGTGCATCTCTCAGTGCAAAATGTCCAGCACGATGCGAGTTAAAAAGCAACTATCAAAGGAAAGCTTTAAACAGAACAACTGTTGTCTTACGTTCATGAAAGACAGCCTCAAATCTAATCTCGGAGGCCAAATATGGGAAGGAACAAAAAAGATATTCAGTAGAGGAAGAGCCGGCAAGTTAAATCATTAGAGTAAATAAGGTGAAGGAGGGTAATGATTAAATCTGACATCACGCCTTTCCTGTGCTAGTGCATTTCTACCCGCCGAAACCTTTCCTTGTTTCTTTTAAGACAGTAAAAGAGCTTCTTTATCTAGGCAAGCTTTGTAAATATTTAAAGATTTAGCAAGAATCTGTAAAGAAATCAAGCATCACACCCAACTACACATTTGTACATGTGTACACACATATGAGAATATATACACTCTCAGAAATAAAGATACAGGAGCCATCACTGGGCATACCTTTTCAAAATATATTTGTCAGCCGATTCGAATGTTATCACTTGATTGGATGGGCGTTATCAGCAGTTATCAGCTGATTAATATGAGCCAGTAAGGGCCTTCTGCGCCTACTGGTAGGCTCAGAAGGCTATTATCATCCATCCACATGGTTCATCAGCTATAATCACCTACAGCTGCGGCTGGAAGTTAACGAGAATTATTTATATTACTTATTAAATCTCCCATTAATTGTATTTTATTAATGTCTACCCTAACCCTAAACCCAACCATCAAAGTAATGTAAAAACAGATCTGGATCTGGAGTCTTCTCTATTAGTTATAGCTGATTTACCATGTGGACAGAAGATAACAGCATTCTAAGCCTTCCAGTAGGCACAGAAGGCCCCTGCTGGCCCATATCTATCAGCTGATAACCTCTGATAACGCCCATTCAATCGAGTGATAACATTCAACGAGTATTTGTGGGGTTCTTAATCCGCTTGCTAAGTGTGACGTCACACGAAACGGCTTCCGGGTCCAATTGCTCTATTCAACTGAATGGGGAGACTCATGAAATGGTAATAATAAACGTTTACAAACCGATTAAAGGCTTTCGAAAATCACGATCGCAGTATATATGTCCATGCCTAATATCCGATGGCCAGAAAGTGATTATTTTTTTTTTAAATTGTTAAATTTTTATTATTTGTTATGCAGCAAGCCCAGAGATTGTTGTGTACACTATGATTTTTTAAATTAACTTTAATGTGTGACAGTTTAACTTTAACTTTTAAACGTGATCATAAACAAATTTTTTCTCCACTCAAATGGGTGGCGGCTTGGACCCGGAAACAGTATTACAAACGTCACAAACATGTCACCACTTAACAAGCGGACGGTACCTCAAAGGTACTTTTTAGGCACATTTAGGCAAACTTATGCACCTTTAATGGACTACTGTGGACTTTTTGGGTGCTAATATGTATCTTTTGAAAAGAGTGTACAGTTGAAGTCAGAATTATTAGCCCTCCTGTTGAATGTTAATTCTTTTATATGTTTTTCTAATTTCTGTTTAACGGAGATTCGTTTTTTTCATGCATTTCTTTAGTTTAAAAATAGTTTAAAAATAGTTTTAATTACTCATTTCTAATAACTGATTTATTTTATCTTTGCCATGATGACAGTAAATAATGATAATTTGAGTTTTTTGTGGTATATGGACATGGAACGATAACCGTGTTGAAGGTATACCGCAGTTTGGAAATTCAAGGTTTTAAAATTTTCTGCTTTACCGTTCCTAAGGTATGTGTGACTTTTTAATTTAAATTTTGTTTTTTCGTTTTTTAGGACAACAGAACCTCCAGTAGAAAAGATATCCAAAGATTCTGTTTTAAACTGTACAGAAATCTGTGCTTTTGAAACAAATGAAGACAGCTGAATGATTTTTTATTTATTTTTTTTATTTGAATTATTTAGCCTGACATCCCGGGCCAGGAAGTGGTGCAATAGGTAGTGCTGTTGCATCACAGCAAGAACGTCGCTGGGTCGAACCTCGGCTCAGTTGGCGTTTCTGTGTGGAGTTTGCATGTGTTTTGCGGGTTTATACACACACATATATACATATATACATATATATATATATATATATATATATATATATATATATATATATATATATATATATATATATATATATATATATATATATATATATCTATATATATATATATATATATATATATATATATACATACACATACATACACACGCTTTTTTTTTCATTATGCATATGAAAGAAATACAGATTTAATTGGTGTTCCTACTGTTATATAGTGTGAAAAAGGTATCTGAATAAGAATAAGATGACAGAATAATGGATTATATATTATTATAAATCATTCATTCAATTGAATTCAATTAATCTTTATTTGTATAGCGCTTTTACAATGTGGATTGTGTCAAAGCCGCTTCACACAGAAAATCGTAGTAAATTGAAATAGTGTCAGTTTATTACTTATAAGTGCAGAGAAATGGTAGGAATTAACAAGCATAAGCTTCTTCCTATTGTTTTTGGCATGTAGGAGTTAAAATAGTTTTCATTGCTTTGCATATTAAAAAAGTTTTATAGTTTTTTTTTACATGTTTAAAATGGAATCTAAAGTCTTAACTATGTCTATTTTTGGAAAGCATTTCTTAATGACTTTCACTTTCTTTGAGCGATTTTAATTAGTCCAAGCTGAACAGAAGTATTCATTTTTAATTAATGGAAAAATGTCATTATGTTTACATGCATCAATGTTTAAAACCCCAAACGGTGTTTTTTCCAATGCTAGCACATATCATTGCTGTAAAACCCTTGTTCCATGATGTTTACCTACAATTACCGACAAACCAAATCAAACCAACCAACAAAAACGACTTAAAAACCAATTAAAACTATCAACCATTCACGCCCAAATTTAATTTACATCACTTAAAGCAATGCCAAATATCAAAACATAAAACAAAGACTCACTTGCTGAATATAGTTCTTCCAGAGGAGCAATCCAAACTGTTGCCACACGGCCATTTTTTTTTACTTCACAGTGCTTCACAACCTGCACAAAAAGACAAAAACGCAAGCGTCAGGTCACTGTGCAAGACTATTACAGAAATATGAGAAAAAAAAACATCCTATCAGCGCCGTTCCAGGAATTTCACATCAGTGCTGAGTTTGTAAACAACATTTCACAAGCACACACAAAGAAGAACAACAGTAGGACTTGTGTTGGAGATAAGAAACAAGAAGTTCTGGTTGCACAACGTGAAGGAATACTAAAAGTAACCTAGTTAGTTTAGTTACCTCAGCGGGTCGTGCTCGACACTTAAAGAGAAAAGGAAAACCGATAACCACTGACTTTCCATTGTATTTGTTTTTGGTCACCGGTTTCTCAACATTCTTCACAATATCTTCTTTTGTGTTGAACAGCACTCAATTTGCTTTGTAACAAGTCAAAGTCAGTAAATAATGACAGAATTTAACTTTTTTTGTTGTCTCTGTAAATGACAATTTCGCCACTTTTTGAGGAAAACACGACACCTTACACAACATTCAGATCAAAATATTGATACTAGGCCCACACGGGCCACATTTTACCCCGATTTCCGCAGACTTTTAGCCCATCATTAATTCTGTTTATTTACTTGAGTAAATGTGTGTAATTCTATATTTATTCAGTTAATATTACAGCAATAGCAGAAATATTATTGACTTATGAAATAGTAATCTGATTTATGTACAATGCAGTTTGTAAATTATTAATTTCTGTCTTTTAGTAGAGATATTATATTGAGAGACTTGATTTGTTTAACAAAGTGAATCTAATTGGATTTGCATTTTAAACATTAAATAAAGGTTAAAAAGATATTGTTTTTATTTCACATATTAAGGTTTTAGGTTATGATACTCCCAAAATAATTCAGCAGAAATCCGCAGATTTTTACCAAAATTCTCCTCAGAAATAGCAAAAAAATGTCCGCAGATTCTGTCTGGCCCAGATATTCCTTCGTATTTAAATGCGTTACACTGAAGTAAAGTTGGTTTTATGTTCACATATTCGGATTTTCTCCTTATTGATACAGGCTAATTTCAAGTATGTAAATGCTAAAACTGGGAAATCATGTACATGTTAGCAGCTAACGACTATCGAAGTACAGCATTGCTCACTCACAGTCAAATAATGGTGCTAATGTTGTTTTGAAGCGATTTTAGACCGAATATATACCAAATGGGCGAATTTAAAACCAACTTTACCTCAATTCACATAACTAAGACTGACGTGTTGATTATTTGACACCTGCCATCTTTCCTACACATGTAGATCAATATTAAACAAACAGTGCGATTGATATTAGCCTACTAACGTGAAAGTGACATCATATTGATGATATCTTGGTGAGTGTCTCTCATTATTTCACGCCTTTATATTTTATTAGCAGCTTTTGTTTTGTTTTGTTATCAACATCCTCAATCTTTTTCTTCGAAATGGCAGTCAGTTGTTTTACATTAAACATGAATTGTCCGTTTTCTTCAGTCTTGTTGTGACTCACATTTAAAAACTCGTTCACCAGCTTAATTATGTCAGCAAAACACAATAGAAAAACACACAGACAGGCGCGCGCACGCAGGCACACACGCACGCGCACAGCAGCTCACCTTACAGTCTCTCCGTCCCGCATCGGACTCAAAAACCGTGTCTTTCAGGCGGAACGCATTGAGTGAATGCTCGCGGTCAGCGCGGCTCGGTCACCGACGAATTCGCTCGGGAAATATCACTCATAAGGGCGATAATAACGCTGTAGATGATGGTGATGATGACATTGCAGCGCAGCGGCCGTGCGGACACAACAAATGCCGTCACGTGACCTGCTTGGGCCAGCTGGGCGGCTGCTATGATCATGTGACCGACGCGTATGTTTGTTTCTAGGCGTGACAGGCGTCAAAACGTCACCGCGCATGTCATAAAGCGAACAGTTTCGTTTTGTACAGCAACATTTTTGATGCAGTATGACAACCTTTTACAGGACATACATGCTTGTTGATTAGAATGCTCTTTTCTCGCTCTCTATTATGTAATAGCTTTAATTCATGCAAATCCATTCAAGCAAACCACATTTTTTTGTTTATTTTCCTGTTATTATTTGTTTTTCCTTCTATATGTGACATTTGCAGTTACGAAATATAATTGTCATATTTCCCTGTTATTCTACAAGTTCAACAATAAAAAAAAAGTTTTGTTTTGTACATATTACACAGCAGTACAAAACCTTTTATCAAAGTTGTCCTGAAACAGTTTTTATCTTAGGACAATTTCTTTATTATTTACTTCAAATGTATACATTTTCATTCACTTGACATGTATTTAATAATATGAATGTATTCGTTTCGTAGCTTATTTCTGTATGTATTTACACACAATCATCGCTGAGATTAAAAACACATTGAATTTTGCAATTACTTTGCAAGTTGTGAATAAAAAAAACGTTGCACTTGTATTAAGTTAAAATAATACCCATGTATGTCTATGGAATATGTAAAAAATTTAAAATATGAGCAATGTCACACGAGTGGAAGTGCAATATGGCTGTATATCGGCACTGGCTGCAGGCAGTGTTGCCAGGTTAAGGGGTTTTGAATTTGATTGTTCAGGTAAAAACTACATAGGTACATAGGTGGGCAGTTTTGCAACGGCATGCCCGCCATAAACCCGTTATAATCTCCCACGGACACGACATCCGTCACGACACAGATTTTTAAGCTGGATTCAGTCAGCTACATCTGGTAACACTGGCTGCAGGCAGTGAGCCTTAGTGTCCCACCAGTGCCGATATACAGCCATATCGCACTGCTACAAGTGTGATATTGTGTTTATTTAACAGTTCAACGGCATAATCGCGTATATGATAAAGAAAATCAAACATGGAGAGTCTAATAACCCTTTTTAGGCGGAATTACTTTCTTCCGACTATTACGCCCTGAGTCTATAAGAAAAAAAATGTGGGCATAATAAACGAAGAAAAACAAATGTGTTGAGGTAGTGGATTTCCCAAACAAAACAATAACTTAATGCAAAAGATTCCCTTCGGTCGACAACCAAACTTAGACACTCAGTTGAGAGTATCTGAATAGATTTATTTTAGAAAAACGTAATAAGTATAAATGAGCATCTCTTCAGGGTGACCACAGGCCAAAATAACAAACAAACGAATCTATAAAGTAAATGCACTAAACTACCTATTACTATTTAAAGAAAAATACAGGAAGCTTACCTTTCTCCCTAAACATAAACATAGTCAAAAGTAATCAAATAAATAGGCAGGCCACCCCTACACACTCAAACTCTCAAAATAGGTTAACGTATGAACATTAGTACAATACTGATTGTTGTTCGTCGGCCGGAGGGGTAAGGGAAATCCAGGAGCTCCACTCCCAGCACCGAACGGAGCACAAATGAGCTTCCCGAACCCTGTCGGAGGCTCCTTTTTATACATGCCTCCTAGACCAGCAGCCAATCAGAACTCGAGATCACGCCAGTATGGGAGCCTATGGGATAACAGAAAAACAAAAAGGCAGGACAAAGAAAAAGACATGCAATTCGCAATAATAAATAAATAAACTTTATTCTTAACACAACATTCATTCACATCTGCAGCTGATGTCAGAACAGCAGAAACTGTTGCTACTTCACCAACGCCACTTTAGTGTTTGAATGATTCTCTAGCGTAATGTCTAAAGCAGTGGTAGGGAACCTATGGCTCACAAGCTACATGTGGCTCTCCATCTGTCTATCTTTAATAATATTTTACAGTTTAAAAAATTAAAACCGTCACTAGAAATCAGTCTCTTAGTGAAAATACTATTACAGTTCCCTTTTAATTGTCATGTTTTTTTAATGGGTAAAATATTTGCTTAGTGTTGCTGAAGAACTACCAAGGGATTTCAGCTGCTGTCTGGTCTTTCATTGCCTTTCTACACCTCCCTTTCGACTTGTGTTCAATACTTTTTCCCAGCATCATTTCATTTTCATTCATTAATTTTCTAGTCAGCTTAGTCCCTTTATTAATCTAGGGTCGCCACAGCGGAATGAACCACCAACTTATCCAGCTCTTTTAAACGCAGCGGATAACCTTCCAGCCTCAACCCATCTCTGGGAAACATCCACACACACACTCTTACACTACGGACAATTTTGCCTACCCAATTCACTTGTACCGCAAGTCTTTGGTCTTTGTCTTTGGACCGTTAGGGAAACCGGAGCACCCGGAGGAAACCCACGCGAACGGAGGGAGAACATGCAAACTCCACACAGAAACGCCAACTGAGCCGAGGTTCGAACCAGCGACCTTGTTGCTGTAAGGAGACAGCACTACCTACTGCGCCACTGTGTCTCATGAGATCCGTTTTCTTTTTATATATATATATATATAGGGCTCGAAATTGCGACCATTTTGGTCGCATATGCGCCCGAAAATTAATCTATGCGACCTCATAATATATCTGGGAGCATTAGTGCGACTGCAGATAATGGTTGTAGTGCGACCTGTTTTGGTTTTTTCTAAAAACGTGCTGAATCGCTCTTCCCTGCCGCTATATTGGTTCATATTAGCTGTCATTCACTCAAGGTATTCCGCTGTCAGATGACAGGGAAGGAACTTTTATGACCACGGGAAATGCAAACGGCTGAAGAGTAAAAACTTAAAGCACACAGGTTTGCAAACCCCACCTAAAGTTGAGGCGCAAATGAAAGCGATCATGACACGTCACGTGGTGAATAATGATCCGCCAGCTGAGATCAATCGAGTACGCGCTTCTTGAAGAAGGTGCCCGAATCTCCATGCGTTGCATTCACTGCGTGTTCAGCGCAAATGTCCGCTAAAAGTCAAATCTAATACTGTACATATCATCGCCAAAGAAGCTCGCCTTTACTAAGTTTACACTGAAACTGCGGCTCATAACAAAGACCGGTATTGCGCCGATGGTTAGCGCAAGAATCCTGCTCTGCCTGCTCATAAATTGGGTCGGCTGACTCGCCAGCTTTCCACTAACACAGAAAAATGAAGATCAGCTCAGACTGAACCTTTAAATTGACACAAACTGAAACCAAAACTTTTAAAGAGTGATAGAAGTGAGACTTTACTTTCTTTCTTTTGTCTATTCTTGTTTGAGGTGTATATTATTATTTTTTTATTTACTGATGACTGCTTTGCAGCTTTCATCATTGAATTGAATGATTTATTATAATCTTTTGTTTGTTTTGTAGCAGAAATATTATTTATTAAATTGACATGCATATAAAAACAGCAGTACAAAATCAATATTTCTTACTGCAACGCTTCATTTTTGTTTGATGCAAACTATACAATTATTTTTCATAAAGTAACAGACTTTTAATAGCAGATAACCTACATTCATGCACATTCAAGGCAGTATCATAATGAGAAATGGAAATCATTGTTACTATTATTGTCATTTTTTTATCATCATTAATATTCTATGGCCTAATTATTAGACATTTATTTTGGAATTATTGCACACAAATATCAATGTCTTCGCAGCATTAGTTATAGTTGTTTCTGGTTTTTGTAAGTCCTATTAATGTTGTTTTAAAATACAATAAATCCCTTAAAAACAATTTGCAGCGGTGCTCATTCATTTTTGGTGGGTGCTCCTAAATTTTTTCTGGTGCTCCTAAAAAATTTTTTGTGCTCCTAAATATTTGAAGTTGGGAGCACCGGTGCTACCAAGTAAAAAAGTTAATTTCGAGCCCTGATATATATATATATATATATATATATATATGGATTTCATTGGTTGTTACCAACATGAGGGGAAATTTTCAAGTCAACTGCACCCTCAGAAATACGTTTTCGGAGAAAAATGTTGACATGTTCAATACTTATTTTCCCCGCTGTACATACCCCAATGGCTCTTCAAAAAATGCACTTGTCCAAAAAAAATCAGAAATGGCTCTTTGCTGGAAAAAAAAGGTTCCAAACCCCACTCACATTTTCTTTAGGAATTTTACAATTCTAGTTCATGCTAGAATCATGCTAGTAACATGCTAATTCATGCTAGAATCATGCCAATTCATGCTAGAATCATGCTAGTAACATGCTAATTCATGCTAGAATCATGCTAACAACATGCTAATTTATGCTAGAATCATGCTAACGACATGCTAGTAACATGCTAATTCATACTAGAATCATGCTAGTAACATGCTAGTTCATGATATAATCATGCTAGTAACATGCTAATTCATGATAGAATCATGCTAATAACATGCTTATTCATGCTAGTAACATGCTGATTCAAGCTAGATTCATACTAACATGCTATTTACACCTTAAAACCACTTCAAACTTTCAGACTCGGCTTTTCAAGCCACCATAAAGTTTGTCCTCAAACTTTAATATCTAGTTCTAAAGTGACGATATACACACACTCACACCATTTCAATGTGATCATGTCAAAATGGACTCTATAGGCTAAACAAGGTGTATTTATAGACAACACTCATTCTTTGTTATTTTTTCAAACGTGCAAAAATATTTTTCAAACATAAAAATTATTTGGTAGTAGAACTTTTAAAACTAAGCAAACATAAATAATATAAACTTACATAAGTTTTGCATAACATCTGCATGCCTATAACAATTAACCTTTACTACAGAAGTTTCTATAGGTAACTATTCCTATTTACAGAAGTACCATGGCCAAAATACACTTTCGGTGTTTGACTACCACTTTTAAAGAAATCCTATTTCAACAGCTTTATTTCTAGAGTAACAAGGTCATGAGGTTATCAGATAGTGTACAACTTGCAGTGTAAAGTGTGAGAGACATGAGACAACTTTAAACCACAGCATTAAAGTGTGATACTCAAGAAAAAGCAATGAAATGGTGTAAAACATGCTGTGTATTGTAAGAAATAGAGGAGACGAACTATAACAACGCAAATAAAACGCACATGTAACTACTGCATGGTTTAATTGTTGTTTTCAGGATAAAACAAGCATCTTTTTCTCTTTTTTCAAGTTCCCATGGCCTTTCACAGCTTCATACATTTATATATTTACAAATATAAACACGGAGTAAGAATTATTTACAGTCGCAATCCTTTAGTGACGTTCGACATACAGTACCAACAAGACCTGACAATAATAACTTAATGCTTTTAGTGTCATAACCTCACACAGATACATACATATGGTTGATTGTTCAAGCATATTAAAGATAAAACAGAGACGAAGCATCAGTTTCCAGCATGGGATGATACACAAAAAAAAGTGCTCGGTGTCTCTCTCGAGGTCATTACGACAAAGCATGTCAAACGATCACATTCATCAGCGGTTAGCTGTGCGTCAATTAGGAAAGCCCTGTACATCTACAGGCCTCAGAGGTCAAATAAACATCAGTGGTATCCGGAAGAAAACAGTATGAAAGAGTCAACAACACGAACTCTGGCAGAATTTCGTGACGAACGCCAAAAGTATGCGCAAATACTTAAAAACACTGAAGCGCTTCAGTCCAGTTCAAGATGAATACAAAAGAGTGTGTAAACAAACCAGTTTTGTTTTCTGACAGTGCATTAATTGTTATGAAACTTCATGAACTGCGTGCGTTAGTTAAAAATATTGCAGACAAAGCATTCGGGAGAAACTGTAAACAGTCTGGGCTTTAAATACTTCCACAGACGCAACACACCGTACACAAGACTTAAAAAAACCCCCACAAGTTCCAGTGATTCGAACACATTCAAGGCATTAAATCGCGCTGCTTGTCAACAGCAAACGCGCTCCTGCCATCAGGAGCTGAAGTGAAATGCATTATGGGAAAGAAAAAACATGACCTTTGTACTTATCTTGTGTTTAAAGCTCTGAAATGGCGCTTTTTGAGACCATCAGCACCCGTTGATCCAAAGTGCTCCTGGCGGGCAGCCAGGAAGTGATGCGTTCAAGCTTCCTGTCGATCAGAAGCTCAGAAAGGCTAGGTTTGCTGCGTCGTCCTCTTGTTCTGCTTCTCCCGCGCTGTGAGCTGCCGTGTTTTTCCTCTTGACCTGACGGCGAATCCTTTGCGAAGGAACACCAGGTGGATTCTGTGGGGAAACCAGAGCGGAGGACCCTGTTGGACTGGGGAAACTCTGAATGGAGGAGTAGCCGGAGCTGTGGCGGTCTGTGCAAAAGCCGCAGGAGGAGGATGAGGAGGAGGTGGAGGAAGAGGAAAGATGGCGTGTCCAGGGTTTGCTACCGCCGGTTGGAGGCTCCTGCTCGTCTTCTTCACACAGACTGGTGTCGTCGCTTGATAACAGGCAGCAGTGCGTCTGTCTGTCAGCGCAATCCAGCGGCAGCTCCATCTGCACCTCCATTGTGGAGACTGGAGCACGGAGAGGATCAGGTTAATCAAACATGCTCAAAGAAATACATTTCAGCTCACATTGTGGTATTATCTTACATCAGGGGTGTCCAAACTACGGCCCGCGGGCCATCTGCGGCCCACAATCAGTTTTGTGGCGGCCCGCGAGGCTTTTTATAAATATCAATAGCATCTGGCCCGCTATACAAAAATGAACGTAATTCAATAAATAACCACCGGGTGTCGCTATTACATGCATTTAATTAAGCAGCATTTCTTGTTATGATCTATCTATCTATCTATCTATCTATCTATCTATCTATCTATCTATCTATCTATCTATCTATCTATCTATCTATCTATCTATCTATCTATATACACAGTTGAAGTCTGAATTATTTGCCCCTCTTTGATTTATTTCTTCTTTTTTAAATATTTCCCAAATGATGTTTAACAGAGCATGGACATTTTCACAGTATGTCTGATAATATTTTTTCTTCTGGAGAAAGACTTATTTGTTTTATTTCGGCTAGAATAAAAGCAGTTTTGAATTTTTTATGAACCATTTTAAGGTCAAAATTATTAGCCCCTTAAGTCTTCAGAACAAACCATTGTTGCCTAATTAACTTGCCTAATTACCTTAATTTGACTAGTTAACTAACCTAGTGAAGCATTTAAATGTCACTTTAAGCTGTATAGAAGTGTCTTGATAAATATCTAGTCAAATATTATTTACTATCGTCATGGCAAAGATAAAATAAATTAGTAATTAGAAATGAGTTACTAAAAGTAATATGTTTAGAAATGTGTGTGTGTGTGTGTATATATATATATATATATATATATATATATATATATATATATATATATATATATATGCGTGTCTGTGTGATATATGTAAAATTTGGCCCGCGACAACGTTTTTTTTTTTGCATCTGGCCCTCGGCCCAAAAAGTTTGGACACCCCTGTCTTACATGCATGAACAGGGTTCCCAGTTCTAAAGCCTGATGTTGAATTCCCTGACTTTTCATGGACTAAAACCTACCTACCTACATATACATACTGTATAACCGCAGGTTAATTACACTCACCGGCCACTTTTTTAGGTACACCTGTCCAACTCCTCGTTAACCCAAATTTCTAATCAGCCAATCACAAGGCAGCAATTCAATTCATTTAGGTACGCTCAAAACGATCTGCTGCAGTTCAAACAGAGCATCAGAGTGAGCATAAAGGTGATTTAAGTGACTCTGAACGTGGCATGATTGTTGGTACCAGACGGGCTGGTCTGAGTATGTCAGAAACTGCTGATCCACTGGAATTTTCATGCACAAACATCTCTAGGGTTTACAGAGAACGGTCAAACAAAGAGAAGACATCCAGTGAGCGGCAGTTCTGTGGGCGCAAATGCCTTGTTGATACCAAGAGGTCAGAGGAGAATGGCCAGACTGGTTCGAGCTGTACTAATTAGTACCAATTGAGCATAGTGTCAACGCCACAGCCAACCTGAGTATTGTTGCTGGCCATGTCCATCCCTTATGACCACAGCATACCCATCTTCTGATGGCTACTTCCAGCAGAATAACGCATTAAGAGTGAATCATCTCAGACTGCTTTCCTGAACATGACAATGAGTTCACTGTACTCAAATGGCATCCACAGTCACCAGATATCAATCCAATAGAGCACCTTTGAGATGTGGTAGAACGGGAGACTCGCATCACAAATGTGCAGCCGATGAATCTGCAGTAACTGCGTGATGCTATCATGTCAATATGGACCAAAATCTCTGAGGAATATTTCCAATACCTTGTTGACTCTATGCCATGAAGGATTAAGGCAGTTCTGAAGGCAAAAGGGGGTCCAACCCGATACTAGTAAGGTGTACCTAATAAAGTGGCCTGTGAGTGCATGTTTTTTTAATAACTTTAACCATTAAAACCCATTAGCTACCTTAACTTCTCTTAATTTGATTGCAATCCAATAATGTGCACCTTTTGTAAAGGCTGCTTTGAAACAACAATTATGAAAAGGGCTATACAAATAAACCTGAATTGAATTAAAAAGCTGAATTTCCAACAACGGGAACAATTCAGTGATGGGAAGAGAAATAACCATGGAGAACGGAATTAAACAGGGAACTTAAATACAGACAATGTTCAGGACGGGTTAAACTGATAATGAATAAATGAAGGTGAAAAACAAAACAAAATGAAAACTAGGTCACACAGAGCACGATCCATTACTAAACAGCTCAAAGCCAAAGTAAAAAAAAAAGGAATAAATACAGCATTAAAATTGCATAATCATATCTTAATATTTTCCTAAAGCCCCTATATTTTCCACAACTGCTTACTCTGAAACAAATAACTAGATAATGAGACTAAAGGCTGACTGCTAGAAATACACAAAACAAATTAAAATGTCTAGTATTTAATACTTTAGATATTCATCAGAGTCAGTGGTAGAATCCAGTTAATGAATGCTGAATGGCTACTGTTGCCCTGTAACTCACAGCTCTAAAATGTTTTTAACACGGTCACAAAGGTTGTGAAAAGTTTCTACTTTGCTACTGAAAAAAAACAAATAAATAAAAATAAAAAACACATCAATATCCCGCTAACATTTGTGTGTTGTTGAGCAGGTTCTGAAACACTGCTATGATTTGAGCCGTTTCATGCACTCACTTTCTCCATCCTTCTCTCCCTCGCTCTCACGGTCTCCCTCGTATCCAGAACAGGAAGTGTCCAGGCTCCAATCCAGAAAGTCTCCCAGCAGGGTCTCCTCCTGATTGGACAACTCTGCAGTGGGTGTGGCCACAAAAGCACCTCGGTGGGCCTGCATGCTGTCGGCTCTCCTCCTGACCAAAAACATACATTAAGAAATTTACATTAGCATTAAAATTAATAATGACAATAAAAATAATTTAACATTTTTTTTAATTAAAATTGGAATAAAAGCAGGCAAAAAAATCAATTTATTGAAAATTGTAATTTATAGTATAATATATGATGGCAGATCTTTTAAATCTATTATTATTTATTCATTGCATTGACATTATAACTTATGTACATTATAACTTAATTCATCTTATAACTAATTTACAGACATAGACGCGCACACCCAGGAACAGGTTTTAAACCATCACAGCTGCTGAGTTCAAGGCTTTTTTTTACGTTATAGCGCCCCCTTGAATTAATAATGAGGTATTTGACTTTAAAAGATTTTAATGTCCAAGTACTAATTTTATGATTAGTAGCCCTCTTATTCCACAATCACACACACACTTTCCCAGGCAAATATGTGATCCTGGACCATAAAAAGTCAGTCTTTTTTTTTTTGCACAGATATTTAAAATATATAAAATTAATGGATTTCCCCTTTCCTGCAAGGGATTTATAGTGTTTAAAAGGGGCATTGGCTGCCCACAGACACTGGCTTCATCTCTAAGATTCTCTGTAATATTTGTAAAATAATACAGTTGTGCAGGTTTCTATCTTTTATGTTTAATAGAAGAAAGTAAAATGTGTTTATGAAAATTAGGTAATGTGTTTGTTAGAAAGAAAGAAAGGAAGAAAAAAAAAAGAAAGACAAAAAAAGAAAAATTACAAACAAACAAAAACAAGAAACAAAACACAAGAAAGAAATGAACAAACAAATGAAGGACAGAAATGAAAACAAACGAACTGAACAAACTAAAGAAATGAACAAAATAAACAAAACAACTGAAAACAAACAAAACAACTGAACAAACAAAACAACTGAACAAACTAAAGAAATGAACAAAACAAATGAAAGAAACAAACTAAATAAACAAACAAAACAACTGAGCAAACAAACAAAAGAAACAAACAAACAAACAAAACAAACTAAATAAACAAGCAAAACAACTGAACAAACAAAAGAAACAAACAAACTGAAACAAAATGAAAGAAAACAACAAAACAAATGAAAGAAACGAACAAAACAAATGAAAGAAACAACTGAAAAAAAACAAACTGAAACAAATGAAAGAAACAAGAAACGAACAACAAACTACACTGAAACATACAAATGAAACGAGCAAAACAAATGAAACAAAAACAAAAAGAAACAACTGAACAAAACATTGAAACAAACAAACTAAACGAACAAATCAACTGAAAAAACTGAAACAATTAAAGGAAACAAACAAAAAAAGAAACAACCAAACAAATAAATAAAAGAAACAAACCAAAACAAACAAAAACAAACAAAACAACTAAACAAACAGAAACAAACAAAACAAAAAGAAATGAACAAACAAATGAAAGAAATGAACAAAACAAACGGAAGAAATTACGGAACGAGAGAGAAAGAAAAATATATAAGGTAAAAAATATTAAAAGAAAAAAAAAACAAATGACAGAAAAAATGAACAAAACAAAAGAAAAACAAACATGGACAGGATCTGATCAGGTGAATGTAGAGTGTGTTCTCCACCTCTTGCTGCTGCTGGTGGGTGAAGACAGGAAGGTGTGCATCTCTGTGATCTGACCACTGGTACTGGACACCTCCACCTGCGGCTCCACCTCCGGCACCTCCAGCACATGACACAGCTCCTTAAAGCCCATCACCTGTGAACAAACACCCTTTCAGGTCACACACACTCTCTTCACAGTGCACACACTAGACTATAGTAAATCTGAAAAACACACACCGTGTCTTTGCTGATCTGCTGATACGAATCATCCTCAAACCTTTGCTTGACTCCAGTTAATGACACGTGTCTGTAGTCTTTGGGCACATCTTGACCAAAACTGGAAAAGAAGACAAAGACAGAGAGCATATTTACATAAACGCATGTTTTACTTGAGAGAGAGAGAGAGAGAGAGAGAGAGAGAGATATGTGTATTATTATTTTATTATATACAATTTAAATTCCGTCAGATCTTTACCTTAATCACGTCTGTAATTTTTGTTTTACGAAGCTAATACAGAAGCAGATGTGAAGTGTTTTATAGACTGTAGAGGGCAGTTCAGAACAGACACAGAGCTTCATGACTCATTTCCACAGAGAGCGCACAGATTCAATCTGACCTGCACGCACTCAAGCAGACCACATTAATCCTCAATCACAAACATCCAGCTCTACAGTAACATCCCACTGGGTTATTATCTCAGCTCCCAACTCGCTAAGAGCAATCCCACAATCTCTACCATTGAGAAAGCTTGGCCATCCTGAAGAGAACATAAGAGGGAAGACTACACTAGTCCGTTTCCATTTTAACATGATGTTTTAAACAATCCATTAACATGTAAAACTCAATTCACACTAGAGGAGTGTTTCTCAACTGGTGGGTCGCGACTCAAAAGAGGGTTGCGGGAACATTTTCAGTGGGTCGGAGTGTGGGGTCAAAAAACAACAAAGTTAATTTTTTTTACTTATTTTGCTTTTACCAGACTTTTATTGTGAAATGCGCGCAACAACCCTACCGTTTAACATGTGAAATGTCGAACCGCAAGAAAGACCCCGAATATGTAAAAGAAAGATATATATACACACAGATATATACACACACACACACACACACACACACACACACATAATATATATATATATATATATATATATATATATATATATATATATATACACACACACACACACACACACTTATACTTATGT